GACAGACAGACAGACAGACAGACAGACAGACAGACAGACAGACAGACAGACAGACAGACAGACAGACAGTCAGACAGACAGACAGATAGACAGACGAAGCGCCTTACAGTAAGTAGGATTTTATCGCAACGACCGAACTGCACAACCATATCCATCGTGTACCGCTTTGCGACTTCGAACCTGGCCTCTCCAAGGATGAAACCTGTCGTGCCTTGTCTCACGCATTCGATCTTGAAGTTCATTCTATGCCGTTCTGTTTACAGCTCGTTCCAACGCTATCTAGCCTAACACAAAAAGGTCGGAGACCGATTGCGACACCTCTTTACATTTTATGCGCATGGAAGTGAGTAGTACCCTCCATTCCTTTGAATCTTCCAGAAAAACTAGGAAAGAATCTGAATTGTTGTGAAATTTTCAGAGAATTTAATGGTATGCAAAACTTAGGGACGACATGGATAGTGTAACAAAGCGTTAAGGGCCGGGTGGAAATAAATGAAAGTGTGGGGGTTAATGCCAGACCTATAATGGGTATGCACGGGAAGCTGACTTCCCTTCATGGAGGAATAGTTCAAATAAGGCGCTAAGTATGGCTGCCCTTGCAAATCGAGGCAGTTGATAGGAAGGAGGAAACAAAATATTGTCAATTAGCGAATAGCTGCAGAGTACTGTAGTGGTGTCCCTCTATACATCACTCCATCCCTCATTTCCCACAGACGTCATCTGGGTGACTTCACACGAGGAAGGATCATCGAGAAACTCGAAGAAGTAGAACCATGACGAGTGTGGCTGAGGAGTCCGGTATCGCTCACAGATTGTTTCACGCGCATGGAGGGCATTAGAGGACTGAGTATAAGAGGAACTCCTGGAATAAGAGGATGTCCGGCGAGTGGAGTGGCCTGCCCGTTCTCCCGACCTAAATCCCATCGAGCACGTTGCGATGCACTGTGTAGTCGCATTACACCACGTCCAAATGCACCGGTGATCATCCGGCAGTTGTCAATTGAGCTGATAGAGGAGTAGAATGCCCTACCACAGGAACTCATTACTAAGCTCGTGAAAGTGAGGACTCGCGTTGCAGAGCACGTATTGCTGTCCCTGGTGATCACACATCCTATCAGAAACCGCGTCGCTTTTTTTCGAAGTATCAGGACAAAATGACTGTGTGAATGTGAAGATTTATTTGCTTTCTGTATCTAATACCTTTATGGTCTTCTTTTGCTATGGTATAAATTTCATAGAGTTCAACTATGCGGCAGAACAGTGATCGGAAGTTGCTTTCATCGCTAGATTTTGCACACCGGAACATTTTTTGCACACCTGGCGTTTGAAAACAATGCAACGCTCGGCGAATGCCTTCCGATTCCAAGAAAGGATAAATGACGGTTCTCCAAGATAACTACAGACCTTGTGACAGCAGAATCAGGATAGAAAGGAAACAGAAGGAAGGTCTCACATAACCTTGAACTACTCATTAAGAAATGAGCAAATGGCGTCTAGGGAGTGCACGGATCTACACCAAATAGGAATCAGCAATTAAAACTTTCAACAGGGGTCCAAATATAAAAAATCAAAAGAAACCAGGAGGCTGATCATATCAGGAATTATGATTAGTATTAGTAATTGAT